AGAATAAAAGGGGCCATTGTGGTAAGTTTGGTAATTCTAGTGGGTACAGTCTTGGAAACAATCTATGTGTTTTTTGCTTGGAAACTTGTCATTTGAAGAGAGATTATTAGAAGCTGAAGGAGAAGGAAAAGAGAAATTCCACTAAGACTAACCATAGTGTGGAATAGCTTGATGAAGATTCAAATGTATCACCATCTATAGTTTCTCAGGGTTTGCACTTAGATAATTCATGATGGATTATGGATACTAGTGCTACATATTATATTTGTCCCACTATAAAGTGATTATGTAGCTATAAAGAGCTTGATATTGATATTATGACCATGGGAAATGATCAGGCATGTCGTACAGTTGGTGTAGGGAGTATCTTCATCAGAATGCATGATGATATTATGAGAGAGTTGATTGATGTGAGACATATTCCAGATATCATGAATAATTTATTATCTATTCGGGCTTTAGAGCCTAAGGGCTACAAGATAGTCATCAAGGCAATAATTCTGAAGATATATCATGAAGAGTTGATTTTTTTTTTAAGGAGTTTCATCACCGTAACTTTTTTTATATTCTCGAAAGAATAATGATTGGAATGACTGTTGTTACTAATGATTATTCTGATGTCATTGTATTGCAGCATTTGCAGCTAGCTCATATTGGAGAGGCTTCTCTTATGGCTTTGTTGAAGTAATGATTGATTAAAGGAGCAAGCAAGCTCGATCTTTGTGAATATTATGTGTTTAGTAAGAAGACATGTATATCCTTTAGTACTACCATCCACAGTATAAATGATATCTTGGAGCATGTTCACACAGATGTTTGGGGCCTGACAAAGATAACATCATTCGGCGAGCGGCAATACTTTGTCTCTTTTATTGATGATTACTCAAGATATTTTTCAGTGTATACCATGAGGAGCAAGAGCAAGGTACAAGAGATTTTTAGAACTTGGAAGAAGTGAATTGAGACTCAGACTTGCAAAAGCATTCGATGTTTCAAATAAAACAATGCGGGCAAATATACTTCATATGCATTCTTGCAGAAGTGTCAGAGATCTGGGATACATCACTTCACTATTAGAGAGACTCTATAGCAGAACGGGGTGCTAGAAAGGGTGAACTAGACTTTGGTGTATGTTATCCAATGCTGGGTTGGATAGAGTTTTTTTCGCTGAGGTAATATAATATGCCTATCACTTGGTAAATGTTTGCCTTCTTCAGCTATTGGGAAGAAGATCCCAAAAGGGATGTGGTCAGGATATCCTGCTATAAATTATGAGCAATTGATAGTATTTGGGTGTCAAGCTTACTATCACATTCAGAATGATAAATTGAAATTGTGAGCAAAGGATGTGATCTTTATTGGCTTCAGGAGTATATTCAAGGGCTTCAAACTCTATGATCAGTTAGATAAGAAGAGTGTCATTAGCAATGATGTTACTTTTGATGAGGTGAGCATATTGAAGCCTTGTAACTCAAAGAAAATATAGAGTTTTATTGGGACCATGGATGAACTGCAGAAGTTGGAGTTTTATGCGGCTTCATTTTCTCCAAAGAGGTGGATCATTTCTACCCATATATTTGATTAAGCTACATATCAGAAGGTAGAATATGATATGGAGGATAAGATTTTTTCTCAGGAATCTATTACGAAGAATAGGTTCAGGCCCTAGAATGTCCCAAATCTAGCTTAGTTGAGGAATCATATTACATTTGTACTTTCAGCCATTGAGGTTGAAGTTTCCAGTCATTATGAGGAAGAGGTGGACAGTTTTTAATGATGATCTATGGAAGAGGGCTTTGGATGAAGAGATAGAGCCTCTTCAAAAAGATGCTTCAATGAGGTTGGTGAAGCTACTACAGGAAAAATGCCATTTTTTTGCGGTCATTCTCATTAGAAAAATGGCTAAAATGTATCAGAAATTAGTATTTCTGACGAATATTCGGTAAAAATTATTCCAACGATAAAATGCCCATCGGAAAAGCCCTTATGGCATTAAATAACGCGTCAGAAATATTTATGGCATATTTTCGACTGAAATTTCACCAGAAAAATATTTCAGACACATTATTTTTGTGTCAAAAAATTAAAAAAAAATTAAAACCTATCAACCAGGGTAACCCGCCCCAATCTGTCAGCCTATGCGCCCCTAGCCTCCTCAGATGCGTCGTTCCTTCTTCCCCAATACCAACCCGACTGGCCAGTTCGTTCTTCCCCAACCCCCTGGGGGTTACCAACCCGATTGGCCCACCCAGCTAGCGTGCCATGCGGGCTCCTGTAGTGGGGTTCAAACCCCGCGTCATTTGATGTTGGTGCCGCCCCGACCATTAGGCCAAGGAGGAAAAGCTGCTAAAAGGCATCCTTTTTTATATTTAAAGTATAACTTAAAACTAATTAATCTAAAACCAAAATAATATTTATATTAAAATTAAAACTAATTGATTATAACATAATTTTAAAAATATATTATTATATTATAACATAAATAATTTAATTTGATAATAAGCTACTAAATTATTTAACTTAATTTAATAAAATAAATAATTACAAATATTTATTACAGTAATTTTTTAAACATATTTAATTTTTATCAAAAAATCCGTGGGAAATTTAGTCAAAATCAAATCCGTCAGAAAGCCAATCGAAAAATACGCTGGAACTCCGTCGAAAATTTCCTGTCATCCATCAGAAATTAGCTATTTTACTGTAGTGAGCTTCCTCCAGAAAGAAAGACCATTTGGTGCAAATGGATGCGTGCAAATAAGAAAGGATCTCATGGAACTAATATGCAATACAATATTAGGTTGGTGGCAAAAGGCTTTGCACTATAGGAAAAGATTGCTTATAATAAGGTGTTCTCTTTAGTGGTTAAGAATCCTTCGACCTATGATTACTTGGCACTTGTAGCATAGTATGGTCTGATTAGTGAGCAGGTCTATCCATATATTATACAAGAAGTTGGTTTTGTCATAAAGTTTATGCATGATATATAAAGAAGTCATTGACAAGTTGTGAAGAGTATCATGATATATCTAAAGAGTACAATTGATGCATGCTTGGAGATGCATTCACCACAACAATGGTGTAGGACTCATGATTGATTGTTCACTTATTTGAAAAACTACGCTCTGCTTGATCTCTTGGGGAGGGGGTATGTAGGCAACCATCTAAGTGTAGTCATTTTGATATTAGAGTCTGATTTGTGATATTTTCACTTTCTAAAGTGAAAATTGAGGTGGAGATTATTGATTTGGAAATCTTTCCAAATCTAGATTAGCCTTGATTTGGAAGGCTTTGATGGCTCATTATGTAATTGATTAGGGAGTTGATTATTTCCCTTATTAAGTTTATTTGATTGGAGATTTGATTGATGCATTAATTAGAGGATTTGATTATTGCATAAATTGTAATATTTAATTAGCATGATAGGGATATCTAATTGGTATGTTTAGATTTTTTCATATTTTTTCATTAATTAAATTTTCTTTTATGGCTTTATTTCAAATCCTTAAATAGGACTTGAGGGCTATTGTATTGTAAGCATGAAAAGAAGAGAGAGCTAGAGAGCGTATTGTAACTCTATTCTTTTCTACGATATAGTGAAATCATCATCCTCTCCCACTGAACGTAGGCATCTTCGTTAAACCATGTAAATCATGTTTTTTGTCTTGTTTGTTGTTTGATTGCTAATTTATTGTTACTATTATGTTTATTGCACAACAAATATGTCATGATGATGATATAGATAATATTTAAAATCTAAGTTAGGCTAGTTATTCAAAGTAATAAATCTAGAGTACCTATGATAGTAATATGATAAACCTAGCCCTCCTTTATAACCAATAGTGACAAATGAAAGTAGTCTTCCCATTGCCAAATAAATTTACAACTATCTTAACAATATATAACTAAAATGAAAATTTGAAATAGTTTTAATTTTCTTATAACCATGAAATTAAAATAAATATTTTAACATTAAATTAACATAAAGCATTATTATAAATTATAATATTATAAATATCATTGTAAATATTTAACTAAAATACGATTTATACAAAAATTATAACTTCAATTATAACTAACTAAAATTTTTTAAATAATTATAAATATTGTTAAACATAAAATTAAAATAACATGTTTTTATAAATTTATAAATATATAATTAAAATAAAATTCACACAAAACTTACTACTAACCTAAAAATTAAAGCTTACATTATAACTAACTTTAAAATTTTAAATCATTACAAATTTTTTTATAAACATGAAATTGACATAAAATATTTTTAATTTATAAATATTATAAGTATCTTTAAAAATATATAAATAAAATTAAAGTTATAACTAACTTAAAATTAAAATTTACATTAGAATGATCTTATAAAATTTTTAAAAATCATTGAAACGCTAATTAAATTTGTATTTTTTATGGAAAATTAAAAATGATTCGCATTTTCATAAAATTTTCCTAAACATAAATTTTTCGTTACCATATACTCATTTCTAAAAAAATTTCTAATCTTAAAATTTTCCGACTAAAGAGCCTTTAAATATGTAAGTTATACATTTCTATTTCTTGTTTCATATATCTTGCTATATTAAAAATATATATTTAAAGAATCTTAATGTATAAAAAAAAACCAAAAATAAGTAAATTTACTTAGTATGCCGATTATTATGTGCTAATCAATTTTTTTCCATCTAATCAAGTTTTATTAATGTCGGTGCTTTACAGCTCTGCATCGTATTTTTACTATTTATTATTACTATTTTTTTCCGTAAAAGGAAGAAAAACAGAGAATGGAAAAGGAGGTTCGGCTTTGAAATTTTAGAAGAAAAAACGAAATTTGCCCAGTGCGGGACGTGAGATTTGGAGAACAGAAGGCGATTCGTCCACTTGGAAGATTTCCATTAGGACATGTGTTCTTGTCATTTTCCTCCACCTCTGCCTCCCTCTCTTACGCTCTAAATAAAGTGGGAGTGAGAAACAAAGCCGAGTTTTTTGGGATTTTTTTTTTTCAGAAAAATAATGAAGTTCCTACTGAGAGAGAAAGATAGTGAGTAACGGAATTATCTCGTAGAAGGACAGCGGGGGGTCGGTTGAGGTACTAAAGAAGGCAATTTTGAAAGGGGTTTTCTTTGTGTTTGAGCTCAGGACCCTGGAATGTACGTGTGAGTGGAGATAGAAGGTTAGTTCTGAGTTCTGACATGATCTTGGAATAAAAAATTTATTTTTTTATGAAGGGATTGTTGACGATTTCGATTTTGTGATGATGCCCAGCTTTGATTTACTTCAGTTTAGCCTCTCATTTGCGCCTTTCTTGTGAGCTCCTTTACTCTTCCCTTCCTTTTTTTTATTCTGAGATGGGGTTTGGTGGCTTTTTAATGGGTTTCTTGTGGATTTGGGGTTTTAGATCGGTTTGGTGTGAATAGAATTGTGAGGATTACGGAAGATGGCTGCTTTTCTTCTCTTCCTATCAGTTTGGTCTCCTGCCTATTTTTATTTGAGACGTTCTTAGTTGGAAAGCATCGTACTTTACTTCTTCCTTCTTTTTCCTCTTCTTGTTCGTGGTTATCTCCTCTCATTTTTCTCTCTTTGGATGATGGAGGCTGAAAGGGGATATTTTGGGATTGGGATTTCCTTTGCTTTGAATTGAACTGGAACTTTTTTCGAACAGGTTTGTGGTGGCTGTGCTTATGTCGAAAAAGAATGGACCTTCTTCTAAACATTTAATTTTTCTTTCCTGTTCTTCAGTAGTTAGTCTGTCGGCATCGATCTGAACCTTTTTTTATATTATTATTATATAAATTGTATGCGCGTATTGATCTTATAATTCCTCCCTTTTGGTTTCCTCTCTCTTTTCTGAACAATTCTGCTTCTAACAGAGTCTCCTTTTTTCCCATATCAATCTGCTTCTAAAAAGATGTTTTCTTTGCTTTTATGGCTTGTAGTTTACAGCTTAACTGGGACCATTTCCTTACGAATTAGACATTTTTACTGCTTCACATTTTTTAAGATGAAATTGTATTATGAAGACCGCACAATGTCCTTTCTATGCGGTTAGGACTGTTTGGGTGGCAAATGTTCTTTTTTATGATTAATGGCGAATGATGCCTTTGAACTACTTCTTGCTTTGGAATTTTACATAGGCTTTTCTCATGGAGTTTATCCTACTTTTGAGGATATAATTTGCAGAGTTTTAGTGTTTTTTTTTTCTCCTTTGAACTGTGTTGCAGACTTGCAGTAAGTAATGTAACCGAAATAACTTTTCTTTATGTTTTTTTGTTGTCGTGTGGCCTTTTTTCTCTTCTTTTATTTTGTTTGCAGAAAAAGCATGGTTCAAAAAACGAAAAAAATAGCGAAGTTTGGAAAGATTCATAAGAGAGAGGCAACCAAACGGGAAGAATTATAAGATTAATACGCGCATACAATTTATCTAATAATAATATAAATAAAAGTTCAGACCGATGCCGACAGACTAACTACTGAAGAACAGGAAAGAAAAAATAGATGTTTAGAAGACATTCTTACTGCTTCACATTTTTAAGATGAAATTGTATTATGAAGACCGCACAATGTCCTTGGGTGTCAAATGTTTCTTTTTTATGATTAATGGCGAATGATGCTTTTGAACTAGTTATTGCTTTGGAATTTTACATAGGCTACTTTGAGGATATAATTTGCAGGGTTTTAGTGTTTTTTTTTTCTCCTTTGAACTGTGTTGCAGTAAGTAATGTTACTGAAATAACTTTTCTTTCTGTTTTTTTTTGTCGTGTGGCCTTTTTTCTCTTCTTTTATTTTGTTTGCAGAAAAAAGCATAATTCAATAAAAAAAAATATTCAAAGTTTGGAAAGATTCATAAGTTTTTGGCCTTTTTTCTTTTTAATATTTTAATGGGTGATTCCTCTTAGCTCATAAATTTTCAAATTGCAAATTTTCAGTGTGATTTATTTTCTTCCTTCTCTGGTAACTTTTGCATTGTGTTTTTGGTATTACCCTTTGAATGACTTGTTTAGGTTACTTCATATTTCTTTTTCTACGAAGGTTGAATAACTTATGGTTTTTGCTCTTCCGTGCTATTTTGATACTTTAATGACATCTATAATACTTCTTTTTATACTTTTTAAAATGGGTTTTTACAGAAATTTCTTGAATTAGAAATTTCTGTACTAAGAAGCAGTCTTATAAAGTAGAAAAAAATTGTCCCAAGCAAAGCCTTAGTTCATGTTAGTCTAATCTAAATTTGATTAGGAAGACCTTTGGAGCCATCATTTTTGCTTTGAAATAAATGCAATATAAATGTTGATGGATTAGCTATGTATTGCACTTATATCAACCATAAAGGCCATCCAAATCAAATTTGTAAGGATATTTAACCTAAATATTTTCCTTTTGCCCCGGTGGTTGAATGTTCTTATTTTCTTCAAGCTGCTTTCATTTGTAGTGAACTGATGAATCCCTCTATATCATTTTCTTGAATTATATTTCGATGTTTTACAGTTTCATCCTTGCTTCTCTTCCTAGTTTGTTTTGGGATTTTTCTTCTTGCCAATCCTTTCTGTGAAAACTTGCTGGTAATTTATCATATATGGTTATATAAGTTTTTCAGTCATTCAGTCAATGTGTTTACTTCCAGTTTTTGCAGTTGGCGCTTGTTTTTTCCATGTTTAAATTAGTATACTATTCACATCTGTAACTTTGGCTTAATAAATTAGTATATTGCCAATTTCCGTTGATGTTTAAACTTGTCTTACTTCGAGAATTCCATTAACTTTGTATGCCAGATTTTTTTTACTGGCCTTATGTTTCCGTGCTTGTAGAAATCTTCCTAACTGGACTATAGTGGTTTTACAAAATGGCTGCTTCTGGTGATGTGAAGAGCATCAATGAGCTGAGAATTTTTGAAAGTATAGATGATTTGGCTACTGATTTGGCTGAGTATATCGCACAATTATCAGAGGTTTCTGTAAGGGAAAGGGGATTTTTTACTATTGCTTTAACTGGTGGATCGCTAATTAGCTTGATGGGGTATGTTTTGTAATAAAAGTTGCAATTCCATACTCCTAAACCACGCCAAGAACTCAAATTCAAATATTTTTGTTTATGAATGCAGGAAGCTTTCTGAAGCTCCTTATAACAAAACGGTTGACTGGACAAAATGGTATGTTTTCTGGGCTGATGAGCGGGCGGTGGCAAAGAATCATGTTGATAGTAATTATAAGCTCACAAAGGATGGATTCCTTTCAAAGGTATGTATAAGATGAGACCTTCACTGGAAATTTTTTAGTATGGAAAATAATTTAATTTTGATTTGAAAACTAATGCTCTTATAGAATTCATCTTTGTTAACTTGAAATTTTGATTGCGTTCTCTTCTTCCACATGAACTATGCTTTGGTTCATTAGTTCTTGTGATTAATTAGTTCTAGCATGACTAAGATTATTCATTCTTTGAAGAGTCATGCCTCAATGCTCTTGATATTTGATTTAAGATTACAATTGTTCACTTATCAGGCCGTGTTCTCATGGTTTTTTTTCTTCAAAATTTGAGTTTGGCCTTCATTGCTTGTAGAATAGACATTCTGACTTGGTACTTTAATTTGAATCATGTTCTGCTACAATTATTTGATGCAAAATGGCTTATGATTTAGTTTTCTTAATATAAGTAGAGTGATGCAATGAATGTGTCTAACATAAAGAAAAATTAAGATTTAGTTATTTATGGCCACTAAACATAATTAAAATTCACTTTCTTTAGGTGGAAACAAAAATAATAATTAGAGTCAAAATGCTAATGTAAAATTTGAAGAAACCACCTAAAATTTTGAAGTATAAAAAATCAATATGCAATTGATTTTTTTTTAAATCTCAATTGTAACTCCAAATTTATTAAATTTGAAGAAAATGAATGTTAACCGGTCCGTAGATGACTGGTCTAGATCGGCCCAAGTGCTTGGCCAGCCCCTGGTTTACTCCAGGCAGACCAAGCAGCCGCTGGTCCTCCTTATGGGCCCATTATTTGAACTCAAAACTTAAAAGGAGGGGGCAGTTTAGAGGGGAATTAAGTTTGGGAGGAGTTGTTTAGTAATTATCATTATAATTGTATTCTCTAAATAGAGGGGAAGGATTAGTGTTAGGGTTATGCTATGTTTTGCTGATTTTGAGTTTTCTCTTAGGTTTGTTTGCGCTCTAGCCGTTGGCTAGGGAGTGGGAGAGCCGGGTTTTCCTCTCGAATTGAAGATCCATTGTATATTGTTTGTTTTCTTCCACTTTTCATCAATTATCAAATTTTCTTAGTGTTTTGTCATGGGATTTATCTCAACTTCTGCTTGAACCTTACTGAAATTCCAAATTTCAGCCAAGATCTCTTTGATTCCTGCATTGGTTTCCTAACAAATTCGTATCAGAGCTCTTTCATGGGCGAAAAAATTAGTTATCTTTGTTGTTTTTGCGATTGGAGCCTAGATCAAAGTAATGGCACCAACGAAGATGGAGGTATTGGAAGGCAAGATAGAACCACTCAAGTCCTGAGTAGAGGAAAAATATTCCGGGGTGGAGGGAAGACTTTCAACCATCAAAAACCACTTTGGAAACATTGAAGATATGATGAAAAAAATGCTTGAGATACAGTCAAAAGCATCACCGACGATTCCTAGGGTGAAACCAAGGACACCACATAGACCTCCATTGGTGGGCGAATCGGGGTATTCCGAAGAGAGGATAGCAAGGAGGAGGGAGGCCGAACCCTTTGGGAGACTACCCCGGCATGGGGATATGTGGAATGGATAAGGGCATGGTTGGGGGGAGCCATGGGTCTAACTCAACCAAGGGAGGAAGGAAGGGAATCGCAGCATCACTACACGGGAGGAACCAACAAGGGAAGAAACCATTAAGGTATAGATGCGAGATTAAGGAAGCTAAAGATGTCGGTCTTTGAAGGGGAGGATGCTTAGAGTTAGGTGTACTGGGTGGAATGTTACTTTGCTATCAACAGGCTGACTAAAGGGGAAAAATTCATGGCGACAGTTCTATGTTTTGAAGGGAAAGCCCTAGCCTGGTTCTAATGGAAGAATTTAAGAAGTGCTTGTTGGAATGTTTTTGAGCCATTCAGGAAGGAGACCTCCACAAGCAGTTCTATGTCCTAACTCAGAATGGGACAATTATGGAATATTGGGAGAAGTTTGAGCTGCTGTCAAGGAGACTGAGGGGAATCTTTGAGGACGGTTTGGAGGGGAATTTCATGAAGGAGCTTAGGGAGGATATACGGGCAGATCTCAGAGTACTGAGGCCGAGGGGCTAAGAGAGACGATGGAGCTTGCTTAGAGGGTGGAGAAAAAATATATGAGGGAGAATGCCAGCACAAGAAACATCATGGGAGGGGCCTATCGGAGTACCTCTACCACTCTAGCACCTAGAGAAAAGGGGTTATGTTTCAAATGTGATGAGAAGTAGGGGTGTTAATTTCGGGTCACGGGTCGGGTTCGGGTCGAACCTGAAACTGACTCGGCACTATTCGGGTCAGCCCAAACCCGACCCGTTTTTGAAAACGGGTTGGTTTTTCTGACCCGAACCCGACCCGCTTTGGGTCCGGATCAACCTGACACGACCCGAATGACCCATTTCCAACTAAAAATTGCTAGTTTTGGGTCAAAAACTTGTCAATCTCCTCTTTTTCAGGTCAAAATGGGTTAAAATCAGGTCAATCTCGGGTTGCCGGGTCAAAAACGGGTCAATTTCGGGTCAAAGGGTTAACCCAAACCCGACCTGATTTTTGAAACGGGTCAAAATGTTGAACATGAACCCGACCCGTTTCAGGTTCAGGTTGACCATAACCCAAAATTTTCTAGTCGGGTTCGAGTTGGATTTTTGGGTCGTGTCAAATATTGACACCCCTAATGAGAAGTATATGCCGGACCATAGGTGTAAGGACCAAAGTCTTCAGGTTCTCACCATTTATGATGACGAGGAACCTGAGGAGGAAGGTGTGAGTGAGGAGAGTATGCAAGATGAGAGGCTGAGGGGGATTAGGACGGATCTGTTGAAGGATTCCCTGGCTATTCTCTAGAAGGGGAGATATTATTGTATTAGGGGAGGTTTTTATTTCCACGAACTACGGTTCATATTCCCACCTGTTGCAGGACTTTCATGGGGGCATTATTGGGGGCCATTTTGATGTTCAGAAGACATACAAGAGACCGACAACATAATTGTATTGAAAGGGTTTGCATAGGGATGTGGAGGAGATAGTATCTAAGTCTAAGGTATACCAGAGAAACAAGTACATGGCTATAGTTTCAAGGGGATTACTTCAACCCTTAGCTCTTCTAGACAAAGTATGGGAGAAGGTCACCATGAATTTCATAGATGGGCTACCTCGATATGAAGGGTTTATAGTGATTCTAGTGGTAGTTGATTGGTTGAGCAAATATGCTCCTTTCATTCCCTTATGGACCTTACGACACCCTTACACAACAATGACAATGGCAGCAGCCTTTATCAAAGGGTGGCCAGGTTGCATGAGATTCTTGAATCGATAGTTTCTGACTGAGATAAGGTGTTCCTCAGCCATTTCTAGAGAGTTATTCAAGCTGCATGGAACGGTCCTAAAGAGGAGTATCACTTATCACACCCAGACAGATGGATAGAAGGAGGTAGTAAATAGGAGCCTAGAGACTTACATATATTGTTTTGCTTCAGAGACATATCATCTGTGGGCCAAGTGGCTAGCATGGACAGAGTACTGGTACAACACTTCATATCACTCGACTTCCTAGATGACTCCTTTCAAAGTGTTGTACGAAAGAGACCCTTTACACTTAGTGCATTTTGGGCAGAGGAGCATACCAGTCTCTTCAGTAGATTAGTACTTGAAGGAAAGAGATAAGGTGTTGGAAGATTTGAAAAGGCACTTGTTGAGGGAACATCAAATTATGAAGAAGCAGGTAGATAAACATATGAAGGACATCTAGTTAGAAGTGGGGGATAAAGTATTCTTAAAGTTGTGGTCCTATAGACAGAAGACTGTCGCCAACATCAGAAATGAGAAGCTAGCCCCAAAGGTAGAATTGTATGTCTGATGTGAATACTAATCTCATCTTTACAAGTTCTTCATTCATGCTTCAGGATTATTATTTTAATGCGGATAGAAAGGTGCATATATATGGTGACAACCAATTTGAACGTTATCCACATCTTTGTAACATTGTACACACTGTTGGATGAAAGTTTCAGATTCTATTTCTGATTTGAGGCTTGCAATTTTTTGTTACCTTATCTTAGTTCCGATTGGTTGCAGTACCGAATATTCTTCAGTTTTTGCTCAGCTAGTCAGTGCTAAATATTTGTCAGTTCAGTAGAAATCAATACTTTCTAATGTTCCATATTTCAATTCCTTCTGTCATTTCATATAATGTGTTGAGAATTTTTTGGTTCTTTGTATTATTAGTGCTAGAACCTGTTCTCAGCATAATTTCCAGAATTGATTCGATCTGTTCATGTCGTGCAGTCTCTTCATTTAAGTGATATTTTATAAATCTATAATATTTCACATGTAAACATACAAAGCAAGCTTCTACCTTTGTTTAAATCACTAAGACTATTTCATCAAGTATGGATCATCCTCTATCTGAACATATTTGATTGATTAACTAATTCTGTATTATCTGAACATATTTGCTAGGTCTCTGTTCTAAATAGTCACATCTACTCTATCAATGAGAATTTGACGGTGGAGGAAGCGGCGCGAGAATATGAATTCATGATCCGACAACTAGTCAAGGTTCGCACAATCGATGTCTCCGAGAGCAACGATTGCCCGAAGTTTGATCTTATCCTCCTTGAACTAGGCTCTGATGGTCATGTAGCTTCTCTCTTCCCTCACCACATTTCCCTCCAGCACAAGGAGGATTGGGTCACTTACATCACTGATTCACCTGAGCCACCACCTGAGAGAATCACATTTACGCTTCCGGTGATCAATTCGGCGTCCAACATTGTGATGTTGGGTGTTGGTGATGAGAAGGCAATGGTGGTGAAGCAAGTCATTGATAATCTTACCAACGGCCTCGATGTCTCTTTGCCGGCCAAGATGGTGAGCCCAAGTGAAGGGAAGCTAGTGTGGTTCTTGGACAAGCCTTCAGCCTCCTTCCTCAATGCAAAAGAAAGCAAACAAGATGAAATATAGCAGTAATGTGAAATTTGTGTATGTAGATGATCACAATGTGTTTGATATATGTTAGTTCTTTTTGTTTGGTCCTATTAGGATATTCTCTCAACTGTTATGTGAGGAAAGATTAATAAGCCAATCTTGAGGCATAGAAGTGTTGGAGAATGAGGTGAGGTGTATGATGGCAGAGAGCTCATATATTTTGTTCTTTATTGGAAATCATTTACTGGAAACTTATATAGAGGACCTTTTCTTTTTCTTTCTTCAGAGCTCTATTTATATTAGCATGTTATCTAAGATTTCATTTGGGATGATTTTTTTACTGCTTCTTGAAGCAACTTTCTAGTACAACAGCTTTAAAAAGTAATAAGAAAGTAGTCCCAAACGAAGCCTAAATTACCATTTTAAAACTGGATGCGATACTCGCATGAAGCTCCTGTCAATATAAAGGGATTGAAGTTATCTAAATTAAATTTTTTTTTTTTGAATGATTTTAATATGTCTGTCATTGTAATATCTAAATATTTATAGCACAAAAGAACACTGTAGAAGACAACAAGTCCAACAGAGCGTAAACATCATTGCTTATCAGTTGCATTGAAGTCCATTGTGTTCAAGAAATCAATTGCTTGTGCCTTTGTTTTCATTTCTGAAGGGTCATTAATTTCTAGAAAATAATAAAAAGTTATAGCCAAATAAAAATTAGTTAGATATCAGTTAATCTAGAACTTGAGAGCATGATTAATTAATTGAATTTTTCAAGAAAAACTTTGATGAATTAGTAAGTCTAGAAGCTTTGAATTTATGATCAATCAAAAATAAAATGCCTTCATACAATTTTATTTTGGAGGCAATATAAATTCAATATTTTTTATTTTTCTCAAGAGTTGCATTATTGAAGAATTTTTGTTTTTGCCTTTATTAAACTCAACATATAATAAGCCAATAAAGAGTAGTTGTGATTTACCAATAAAAAAGTATTATAATTATATTTAAATAATAGAATGAGTGGTTGCTAGATATGTGGGTTAGTGGGATAGTTAGAGGTCAACATAAATAATGAACAAGTTTTGAACATCATATTTAGTATTTGATCCTCATTTGAACAAAGATCGAACACATGTTTTGAGCTTATGATTTTATTATTAAGGGTTCATTTGGGATAAATTTCTTACTATTTTTTAAAGTAGTTTTTCAAAAAAATAAAATAAAATTATACTATAAAATTGCTTTAAAAAATAATTAAAAAGTTATCCCAAACAAAGCCTAAATATGAAACTAGGTTCAGAGAGTCTTTGAATAAAAGTTAGACCTCATGAATGATAATCAAACTATATTCGAACAAGTTTTGAGCCTCGTTTGAACATAATTCGAATCAACTCCTCTATGATTTCAAATTCTTTTATGTCAAATACATACTCATTAAGTAATTAATAAACACATATTATCCATTAGTTTTCTCTCCCCTCTCAAGAATCATTATTATTGACTGACTATATATATATATATATATATATATATATCAAACAATAGAGTTGATATGTCACCAAAAAATTTATCTTCATAGGGCATGAATCTCAACGCAAATATGAAGGCCTTCAAAAATTAAAATGGGGACCATCCGAACTCTAATTTTAGTAAGCTTATACTCAAATTGAACATCTCAAGAAGACAAACCGAACGACTCCAAATTCAATCCAATCCGAGCCCAAATGGGTCCAAATCAAAGGACAAAAACATATTTGAAAGGTTTAAAGCATTAATTGGATGACCAAATGATATCAAAATATAACATGCTTATAGTCAAATTGAGCTGCTCGACGAGACTAATCCAACGAACCTAAGATCATTCAATTATGAAATCTTTAAGGCACTTAAATGTTTGATAAACTCTTCATGGTTAAGGGAATCATTATGAGCCGTCCAATGCAACACTCATAACATGCCCTTAATCTTTCCCATATTTACTAGGCAAGTTACTTTCAAAAAATTATAAATAGACTCTTCATTCTTCACATGAGAGGAGGAGGAAGAGAGAGAGGAGAATGTTTAGGAGCTCTCTTTCCACCGACATCTGCCAGTTCTCTTCCTGACCATTGACCATCGTCGAACTTTTGCCTATTGGACACCGCCGAAACTCCTCCTGACTTCCGACCATCATCAGACTTCCACCCATTTGTTGGCCACTGCTGGATCCCCTCTCGTATTTCGACTTTCACTAAACTTTTGCCCATTTATTAGCTAGTGCGAGATCTCTCTACTTTCGACCATCGATGGACTTCCGCTCGTTTGTTAGATGTTGACAGATCTCTTGCTAACCACCGACCCTCACCGGACTTTTGTTCATCTTCTAATTATCACGAAATCCTCAACCATTGTCCGACTTGTGCTCAATTATCACCAAATCCCTAGACATCAATAGGCCTTTGTCAAATACACACCCGATTGTTGCTTAGTCAATATTAGGAGTACCCGTTTGAAGTTTTGTCAATTCTTCAACATATTATATTCTCATCATCCTTAAGTTAACGATCAGTTCAACCTCTGTAAATTGTTCAAACACTAGTGTAATCATTTTAACTAGGCAAGGCCTCGTGATTTTTCCTCTTTGTAGGATTTTTCACATAAAATATATGATATTTATCTATCATTACCTTTTTGTGTGTTGAATTTTTGTATTTCGTTAAGACGTAAAATCTTTTCACTCTACCGCCAAGAATTTCTCAGCCAACAACAAGAATCATTGGTTCAAAACATGTTCAAATGAGATTTGAATCTCATTTTAATATGATTTTAATAAGGTTTATTTTTAGACTTATTTAATTAATGTATACAGACTTACATAATAAAAAAAATATTAACACAAATATTATTCTATCAATTTAATTCATACTGTCACCTAATTTATACTCCAATCAATGTTTTTCATAAATTTAACAATATTTTATGTATTGTATTTAATGTAGAAGGATGGCTTTTAATTTATAATGACATGCCAAGCAAATAAATATTATTTATTGTTTTTATTTAATACATTTAAATATTTTCAACTCATATCACTTACCATATCGAATGTTTCTATTTTATGCATAATGTGTTTACTCTTATGGTCTATTATTTTTGTTAAATTCTAAAATATTTAAGTATGAGATTCTCCATTGAATCATATCAGGATAAGGTTTGATAAAAATTTAAACATTCAAAGCTCATATGAACCCATAGAATATTGGTGGCCGTAAAGGATATTATTTCACGTTTTAGCATTGCACGAGTATCCAACTCACAAATAGAGAGAGTAGAAACACCAGAATTTTTATGTGAAAAACACTAAAGGGAAAAACTACGGGGCCACGCCCAGTTGAAATGAATCCACTAGTGTTTGAATTAATTACAAATGATTGATTTGTCCTTGAACTTGAGAATGATTATATTACAATAGTCAATTGCCGAGTAGAAATTTAGTGAGGAATTGGTATCAAACGGAAGTTTGGTGATGGTAAGTAACAGTGTGTAAATCCGGTGTCAGGTTATGGCCGGGAGGAAGTACGGTGGCAATCGGTGGCCGAACGTAAGATCTGCAACAGTTGGTGGCTGGGCGGAAGCCTGATGACAGTTGGTGGCTAGACAGTGGTCGAGGAGGAGTCTAGTGGCAAGAGAACTCCAAATTCTCTTCCTTTCCTATCATCTTTCTATTCCTTGCTTGGTCTTTTCTCAATGAAGAATGATATGTCTATTTATAATTTTTTGGGAGTGACATGACCAGTAAAAAAGGAGAAGATTAGAGGCATGCTTGGAGTGTTTCGAATGTATGAACGACGATATTGATTCCCTTGATCATGGTCTATTTATCGAGTATTTGAGTGTTTTAATGATATCAGAATTCGGCGATCTTCGGCTTGTTGGATTTGTGTCGTCGAGCCTCTCGATTTGACTATAAGCATGTCACATTTGGAAATTATTCGATCATCCAATTTATGGTTAAAACCTTCCAAATGCACTTCAGATCATTGATTTTTGACTCATTTGGGCTTGGATTTGGTCGAATTAGGTGTCGTTAGGTTAATCTTTTCAAGACATTCAGTTTCGAGTATAAGTTTGTTGAAATCGGAGTTTGGGTGATCCCGTATTTAATTTTGAAAATTTTCAATTCAAATTTATCTCAAAATTTGTGCCCGATCACAAAAAATATTTGATGACGTATCAATGTTTAAACTATGTTTAAAACATTTAAAAAAAATGATTTAAACATCCTCCAAAATAAGGTTTAACAACATACTATAACACATCAAACTATAATCACAATAATTATAACACAAGATAGTAAAACTTTGATAAATCAAATTTGATCATAATTGTTATAACACAATAAACAATAAAATTGGGACATAAGGGTACAATAATAATAGCTATTATAAAGTGCATATAAAGTGCCCAAATATGACCGTGCAAGTGTAAGTAATGAATGCATTTTAAGATTTAATTTTTTTTAATGACTCTATTTAATTTGAAGGGGTCCAGAGCCGTCCTCAATCAAATCTTGATTTTTTTTAATGACAAATAATAAATTACAAAATATATTGTTTGAATCAATCACTTTTAAAAAATAAATTTTTTCATCATTCATACTGTAGGGGTGTCAATTCGGGTCAATGGGTCGGGTTCGGGTCAAACCCGGAACTGACCCGGCACTATTCGGGTCAACTCGACCCGACATGAATGACCCGAAGTTGACCTAAAATTGCTAGTTTTCAGGTCAAAATAGGGTCAATCTTCGATTTTCGGGTCAAAATCGGATAAAAGCGGGTTAATCTCGGGTTTTCGGGTCAAATAGGAGTTTTCATGTCAATTTCAGGTCATTTTCGGGTCAATTTCGGATTGCTGGGTCAGCCCGACCTCGACCCGATTTTTAAAATGGGTTGATTTGTTCAACCCGAACTTAACCCGTTTCGGGTCCAGGTTGACCCTAACCCGAATTTTTCCGGTTCGGATTCAGGTCGTGTTTCGGGTCGTGCCAAAAATTGACACCCTTAATACATAGATTATATAATAACAAAAGTGACTTTAAAATTTTCTTATAAATAATATATCTGAAAATATGTTGATTTTATGAATGTCGAAAATATTGCTTGTTAATGAATTTTTTTAAAAGGAAATGATAGAGCATAATAAAGAAAAAATAACTTCTTCTTTTTTTTTAGAACAAAGGAAAAATTTTCAAAGGTAAGAAACAGCAAACAGCAAGCTAACATGTTAGCTTAAATTT